ATTTCAGTAGTAAAACACATGAAGTGCCAGCTCCTACAATCACAACATTGTGCAGGTTGAGGCAGGAGGACTGCAAGTTCAAGCACAACCTAGAAAACACAAGGAGCATCTGTTTAAAAAAAAAAAAAATAAAAGAGGGCTAGGAATGTTACTCAATATGGACCCTAGTATCTTCGAAGAAAAAAGTATGAAATGATATCAGAAGTTTTTCAGGTGTGACAAAAGCGTACATTATGTATATAAAATACTATTATTTAAAAAATGACAAAACTCTGGTTCTGTGCTCTTCTTAGTAGGTCAAAAGCACAAAAAAATCACATTGAGACCCAATAAAATGTATTGAATAAGACCTCAAAGCTTCTGTATAGCAACAAAACAAAACCAAACAAAAAATACTGTAGAGTGAAGAGAAAACAGAATGGGAAAAATTTTGCCTGCTGTTCCTCAGACAGATATATAATATCTAGAATATAAAAGTATTCAAAAACATTAAACCAGGCAAAATTAAAGATCCAGTCAACAAATGGACAAGAAAAATGAACAGAAACTCAAAGAGAAAGAAGTACAGATAGTTAACAAGTATATGAAAAAATGCTCAACATCTCTGGCCATCAGAGAAATACAAATAACAAAATGGTAAAATCCCACCTCACTCCAGAAAGAACAGTGATCAATTAAGAAATAAAATAACACATGCTACGGCATTTGTGATGAAAAAGGAATCCTCTTTCACTGTTGATTGAAATATAAAGTAGTACAAACTGTAAAGAAATGAGTATAAAGATTTCTCAACGAATAGAAAATAGAAATTACATATGAGCCAACTGTGCTCTTGATAAAAATCTTCCCCACAAAGCTTACCATATTATAGTACAGCAATACTCGCATATCAATATGTATAGCAGCACAGTTTGTAAAAGCTTAATCTTGGCAACAGACTGCATACAGAACAACAGATTACTGGTTAAGGAAAATGTGGTATCTAGATATAAAGTGATAGTGTCCTCCTATTAAAAGTAACAGACTTGAGACAGTTGTAAGAAAACGGATGCACCTGGAAAATATGTGAAGTGAAATAAACCTGACACACAAGCTTAAATATCATATTATATGTCTCAATGAGTTGTTGTAATGTACAAACAAAAGGATTAAGAAGGGTGGACAGAAAGGGACAAGGAGATGAATCTCTTGCTGCACGGATTTGGTCCAATGGTAAAAAGAGTGAGGGGTTAGGAAGGGAAGGGGAAATAAGTAGAATAAAGATAAGTCATTTTCAAGAACCTAACGATCTCAGTTACTGTAACTACCACATGCCAAAACGCTAGTTAAGATTAATAATATCAACAATAATAAGAAATGGGATGGAGTGTTTAAAGAATGAGGGAGGGAATAGGAGAGAATGGGAAGGAGATTAAAAAGAAAAAGATAATATACTATGGATAGGTATCCAAATCTCAAGTTGACTGTAAGCTACAGGAACTCCAAGTAGTTAGTTGTACAAGAAAAATCTTTTAAAATGATGGCAGGGGCCATCGCAAACATACAGTGGAAAAAATTGTTTAATAAGTACAGAAGAGTTTGAGTTTTGTAAGATGAAATTGCTCTGTAGATTAGTAGAAAAAGCATGTGAATTTAGTTAATACTACAAAGCTATACACTTAAATTACATTAATCTAGATTTAATACAGAGCTGTGATAGGTAAATTAGACTCATTTTCAGAAAAGTGGATGAAACTAGAAGCCACAATGCAAAGTGAAATAAAGCAGAGACAAAATGTTAAATACAGTATCGCACATTTATCTGTATGATAGGCCCAAAATATAAATAATTTAAGGATCAAAAGAAAAGATAGATGATAAGAAACTTGGAAGGAAAGGGGCTGGAAAAAAAAATAAATTAAAAAAAAAAAAAATAAAACCTGTCTTTCCACATACCAAAGACTAAAACTAGAAAGATGTTTGTCTCCATGCACTAAAGTGAAGTCAAAATGGATCAAAGATCTAAATATTAAAACACAGCAATAATGTACTGGAAGAGACAATAGGTAGACTTGTTGAAGACAGAAGTGTAGGCAGAAACTTAATGAATGAAAGTCAGACAACACAGAAAAAAAATAAATGTGATCTCACCTTCTTAAAAAGTTTTACACAACAAAAGAAATCACCAGCAAAGTGAAAAGACAATCTACAATGGGAAAAAAATTATAGTCAGTTGTCCCTCAGACAAAAGACCTGTGTCAAGAGCATATAAAGATTGGAAAAAAATCAGGTCTCCTACATTCAAAAAGCCAATTCAAAAATGGGCATCCCACAAGAATGCACACCTCTGCGATGAAGGAATACAAATAGTAAATAAATATGTGAAAAAGTGTTCATTATTTTTGATCATTCCAGCCTTGTAAATTAAAATTGCTGGAGATTACATCTCACTCCAGAAAGAAAGGTTATCACCAAGAAAATAACTAATAAGAAATGTTGGTGGAGCTGTGGGGGAATAGGAACTCTTCTCGACTTGTGATTGTAGATCAATGCAACCATTCTGAAAATCAGTGTAGAGATTTCTCAATAAACCAGGATTGGAAGCCTAATTTGTCCCAGCTGTTTCCATCTGGTGTATATTCGTAGGAGGATAAAAACACTGAGCCACAGCAATATATGAGAAACCAAGTTTATAGAAGCACAGTTTTTATTAGCTACATCTTGGAAACACGCCAAATGCCCATCAACTGAGGAATGATTAATGGATGTGTGCCTGTGTGTGTATGATTGTGTGCGTGCAGGCGTGTGTGTGTGTGTGTGTGTGTGTGTGTGTGTGTGTGTGTGTATTAGCAATTAAGAAAAACTTGAGATGTTTATAGGGAAAGAGAGGCAACAAGGACGACAGTTGTAAGTGAAATACACCAGAATGACATGTGTAAATATTATACAGTCTCAATAGAGTGAGAATTAGAAAGAGTAAACAATGTTAAGTAGTAAAGTAGTTATTGTGATTAGGGCAGAAACTCTCCAAAGCAAACAAACAAAAAAATTAAGGGAGAAAGGTGAAAGGAAGGAAAGAGAAATATATACAAACACAAGAGAATGAAGCTACTTTTATAGCCAGTTTCATTTGGTTTATTGAGGGGAAACTGTTATGCTAGAAATTTTCTGGACAGTTTTTCATGCCTGTACCTTGTACTTTGAAGAACTACTATGAATATAAGTCTATGCAATGTATTCGTTATTGTTACTCTCCTTCTAGCCTGTTTTAAAACTGTGTTACTGTTGTTGTGATGGTTTTTATTTGAATAAAGAGTCCTGGAGGAAGCCACAAACATACTTAGAGGGCAGTGGCTAAGTTAAGACCAGTCAGTCTCGGGACAGAGAAGAACAAAGTGCACTGTCCTAGTCAGGGAGGTGGAACCAGACATTGAGGGATCTGTAAGACAGTGAGAATCACAAAGGGTTACTGCAAGGAACTGTGACCAGTGGGTACAAAGGGTGGAAAAAGGACACAGGTGATCTGTCAGAGGAGTTTCTCCCCACCATGGTCCTAAACTCTAGTGAGTTCTAGGTCTATGTGCACTCTCTCTGCCCATCAACAGTCAACATTGATTTCTAAGTGAGGAGGTCTTTTCTGCCTATTCACAGAGTGGAAACAGACCCTTTATGAAGCTGAACATCTCCACAATAGTGGCAGAGTTTACAAACCCTACTGATAGGCAACATTTAACCAAGTACAAGAATCATGACAAAAACAAAGCAAAATGATGCCTCAAAAAGTGATGAATGTTCAACAGGTCTTGTCATGGGCATCATACAGCAGATAAGTCTCAGACTAAGACCTCAAACGCCAAACATTTGAAGAAATCAGAGAATAATATATGAACAAATTAGAAAGATACTTTAGGAGCTCAAAGAGAATATAAGCAGACAAAAGATTTAACTAATAATTTTATCAATGAGATTAAAAAGACACAAAAACTGATTTGAATGAGACATTAATAAGGAATATTAATGTCCATTTTACTAAAGAACTACAGATTCAGCTTGAAAGGTGGTACACATGTGTATTCCTAGAATTTGAGGTACTGCAACATGAGAATCCCCATGAATTCAAGGCAAGCTTTGGCTACATGAGTTCAAGTTCAAACAAACAAACAAACAAAAAAACAGATTAAAAATGAGCTACAGATTCTAGTCAAGTGAGGTGTTTCGTGTTTCTAATCCAACTTAGCAGATATGGAGGAAGGCAAATACAATTTAAACCAAAGTTTCTCAGCACAATCACTGACAAAGACACAATTAAAAAATAATAATAATCAATAAAAACTAATATAAAGGGCAGGAGGTGAAGCTCAGTGTGAAGAACCTGAGTTTCATATTAAGATAAAAAAAATAGTGCTTATGGCATAGAATTAAACAGAATTCATGGGAATTCAAAACATGTCAGAAAGCCACACCTATAGATAACACAATTCATGGAGAATGTATCAGGATCTGATGACAAGAATAGTGTCACTAATACTTCAGTATTCACCAACAGTTGCTCTTGGATAGCACAGGTATCAAAAACAAACTGTTTTGCTGAAATGGGGTAGCAAATCACCAGAATCAACACCAGTAAGTTCTAATTTTCTTGTCAAGAGCTGAACAAATGATGAATAATAGAAAGAAATTTGCATCAAAATGTATTAAGTGGGAAATGCAGTAAATTTAAAATCGCATGCATACCAATGATGACTTTAGTAGATCACTTACTCAGTGATGCTCTAAAAACAAAAATCTTTGAAAGGTGGATACCTCTGCTAGGTGAATCTAAAATATCAATCCAATGAATTACTGTGTCAAGGAAGTGTTGGAAAAGGAAACTAAAGTTATGAAATTCTGTTAGCTAATATCGTTGCAGACAATGTTTCAAATCCAAAAACTTTATTTAACACTTAAGTAAATGAGGTATTTAAGACCCAAATAAATATGGTCAAAGGGAACGTCATGAAACTTCGTATTCAAAATTCTAGAAAGTCGTAATAAAGACAGAATGCAAGCCAATAAAGGCTGACGTCACCAAGGTCCCCGGAAGTGTCTCCTCAGAGAGTGGAGGAGGCGAGGCCCAGGCCGCAGAGCCAGAGGCCCCTGGCGTTTGTACCGTGTATACTGGCGGACAGAAGACATGACATGTGGTCTAACGGACGACATGACAACCAAAGACTTACTAGAAAACGAGGACCACCTCAGAGTCTTCCCAGGGAACGCTACCTTAGCATATTTAACAATGTGCCAAGGCAGCCACCACAGCTGGGAAGCCAACGACCACTACGAAAGACACCACCGCTGTGTGGGGAGAAAGCACGACTGCTAGACAGTCCTGGTGAAGGAAGCTACAAAAGATATTACAGTTTAGCCGGTCACCAAGAATATGACAAGGGCCGAACATCTGCTCCTGTTCAAAGAAGTGTTCCACCTCAGAAAGGAGATGAAGCTGGCAATCAATGGTCAAGATACAATCCTTCTGCAAGCCACCAGAGTTATAACAGGGACGAGAGAGAGAGCTGGACAAGACAAAGTTTCTACTCTTCCAAGTATGGCAAAGACCAGTCTCCTCATACAAAGGATCCTACATTTTTTGGAGAGTCACTCTTAGGCCAAGAAGCTTCTCCTGTCAGTAGCAGGTGGGCCACTCCAGTCCAAGGAGAAAATTACTCTTTTGAACAGCCTCAGCATAGAAGAGAAGAAAGAAGGGTCGTGAAGTTGGACACATCAAGGTACATTTCTCTCCGAATTTCTGAACCAGCTACTTCATCAAAGGTGTTCAAAGAAAAATCCAGCAAGCTACCTGAAAAGGAGCTTTGTGAAGCTGTAAGGGCGTGGGCTGCCCAAACCTCTGAGGCATCACAGGAAAGCGGCATCTCTGAATTCGAGGAGGAACTTACAAGACCATTATTCAGGAAGCATCCAGTCCCGCCACCAGCAGATGCAGAAGACAGCACAGAAGGATCTGAAGATAGTCAGCTCGGCAGTTCCTTTAAATCAATAGACTCAAAAGTCAAAGAGATTCAAGACCTTTACCAACTATACAGTGAAACTTATGAGATGGTGGTGAGAAACTTGATGGAAAAGGATTGTTCACTAGAAAGCCCTATACAGTTTGCACTGAGGCAAATTTTACAAGAAATAGGTGACCGGCTTCTTAAAGATCTCAAAGATTTTATTGCAGAATATCATGCTTCTCAAGATAGTGGAGAGTCTTCTCAGGGGCTATAGTAATCAGTCAGAATAAAATTCATTATTTTATTCCAGCAATCTTAAAATCCTTAATGTATGGACTGTTTGCAATGAAGAGAAATATTTATGAGTTTCCCCTATCAAATAAAGATCTAACACTGTCTGTTTAAAATATTTGACTTTGGTTTTATTCCATGTTATATCCACTAATGTGTATACCTCTTCCACTCCCATAATGATGGTTAGTTAATTGGTTACACTTTGAAAAAGCATTCCTGGAGGGCAGTTTTCTATACTTTTACGTGTTGCATAATCTCACAAGTGTGTGATTCATTTGAACTAATGAGTGTAATTTCCAGTTTAGAAATCATCGCACCTGAACATTGTTAGTCTTTTTATATTTCATCTTGAGTGTTTCCATGTGGCAATATTGGAGTTCTGATTTGTGATTTTTATTAACTTATTTCTTTCTTGTCTTAAGATTCACAAGTTTTGATATGCTAAAAATTTATCACAATAATTCGATGCTTTAGTATCTTAGAGGATATTTCTTTGGAGAATAATTCTCATTCAGTGTTAACACAAAGCTTAAAATCCCCGAATTATATCAGAATAAAACCTTTTACTTAGTAAATGAAATCAGTATGTCCCATCTATTAAAATATTGCTAAAACTTTTAAGTACCCTGATGTCTTAGTTTCATGTACAAGACTAAGAGAAGGAGTGTTCTGAGATGGAAAGTGAGGAGCATTTGAAAATCCTTTTGAGCAATTGAGGAAAAAACTTTAAATATGTAAGATTACAAGTGTTTTGTTTTTATTAAGCCATATTACCTATCTCAGTCATCATTAATACAATTCATGGAATGAAATCATTTATAGATTTGGGAGAGTGACTTTTGAATCTTGTGAGTTCTTTCTTTTGGTAACTTTGAGAGCTATTTAGTGTGTCCTAAGTGTTCTTTTGGAGAAAGTCAGCAAAACAGACAGTAAACGCTGCACAGTACCCCTTTCGTAGCAGTCTGGGTAAGTAGTCATTCATGAAGGAGCCATCAAATCACAGATTATTTAAGAATCTTAACTAGGATCTTTGGGACAGTTCACTTATTTCCTGGCTTCTTCCAGCAACTCAGTGGCACTGAACCAAAATATATAATTTATACTGAGTCTTTTGTGAGGCTTATTGGAGAAAAACATAGCAAAATAGACAGTAATCCCGGCACATAACCCCTTACCAAGACATCTGGGTAAATAGACCGTCATGAGTGAGCCAAAAATCAGAGATAAAAAATCTTTACTGGGATCATTGTGAGAGTTTACTAGTTTACTTGTTTCCTAGTTTTTTCCAGCAACCTAGGGGCACTAAATCAAAATATATGATTCTGTGGCATTAGAAGAAATAATGTTTTATCATTATTTCTCTACTTTAATCTTTTTGTCCTTCCCTTTCTACTCTTTTGATATCACTTTTCGTGGTCTCTTGATATTATGTAAAGAGCTACTACAAAGCACAGTAAAATTATATTAAAATTGGACAGAGCAGTACAGTTTTAATGGATCCTATGTGCAAAATCATTGTTATGTCATTTCTCAATTTTAGAAACTAATTTAAGGCAACACTTAAATTTTAAATAGTTTTATAAGTGAGATTTGCTTAAACTTTTATTTTTGCCAATAAGATGTTGTACTATTCTTTTATAAAATAAAAGCCAATTGAAATCCCATATATTATTCTCATAGTCTTCTTTCAAGATGTAAGACTATAGACATCAATTTTAGAAAACTGAGAAGGTACACTCAAGGGATTTTTTATACAAATATTCTAGTTCCAGAATTTGGTTCTTTTAGTAAAGATGCCACAAGTTTAAAAGTAAAACTAGAAAAACTAACAAAGGTAAAATAATTGTTCTCTGTGTTAAAGTTTATTAAAAATTCTTGGTAGCATGTATTTACATGTAGGTTCAACAGGTACTTTCTTCTTCCATTCACTCAAATTACACTTAGTGTGATAAGTTGTTTGTATCACTTCATCATTATTCAGCATTATTCTTCTAGGCCTGTCAGTGGTAACACCGTTATCATGTACTTTCAAATCTCATTTTAGGTGAATTCAGAGGTGAAACAGAGCATGTATTTTGTAGTATGTTCTTGACCAAAGACATTTGTTTGCAAATTATTCATTGTTTTTGTACATACCCAATTGGTGTGACAAAACTTTCATTGTCTTCCTTAAAGTCTTGATGTTCAAGCTGATACGGTAGAACATTTTATGACTTTTAAAAGTGCAAACTAAAGAAACCATGCTTAAAAAATAAAGCCATTAGTGAAACTATAACTGATAAAGGCAAGCTTTTCTGAATAAGGTCAGGTTTCTCAACAAACACCTTAAAAGTCAAGAGATCTTAGAGTGAAGTTTTTCAATCACCACCCACTGAGAGACCAGGTCCAAGTCAAGATTATTACAACTTAAATAATTAGCTTTCAAATCTGATGGTAAAATGAAAACTTTTCCAACAAAGAGAATCTAAAGAAATTCATGACCATTGTTTTGGATTAATAACTGGTAGTCAACTTAGTTCCAGCTGAGTTAGATCAACATGATGCTGAGCTTACATGTTCCACCTGAGGAAAGTTTTCTGCCTAACTAGAGACTTTGAGAAGGAGAAGGGAAACATTAAAGCAATGATGGGTTCCATTACATTTTGCTGTTTGATCCATTGGTTCTCCTGGAGAAGTTCTGGTCCTTACGTGCAGCATTGCTTCTTGTTTGGGGTGGAGGGAGAGATGTGTGCAATTTATTTTCTAGGGTGTCCTAGTCATGTTGGCTTTCTGGGATGTGCTCGACTCTGCTAATCATTGGAAGAGCTTGGGACCTCTTTTTCCCTGAAGTTGGCTGTGGTGCTTTTCTGTACAGCCCTGGCTATTGTTTTGAGCATGATTGCTCAACTCAACTGAAGAACCATCAACCTTCAGGCATACATGCCTCACCTCACTGGCGTAGACATTCTAGATCTTACGGCTTAGCTTTCGGCCTTCCCCGCACACATCCATGAGAGAGACTGGTGTGAGTCTTTCTTGTGGGCTGTAGACCTTCAGCTGGACTTGAGGGAGGAATTCTCATGAGCTCTGGGTCTTCTTCTGGACTCAGACAAGTCATTGCAGTGTGATTCAGGCCTTTGATGAAATATTCTGTCTTTGGTGTTGTGGATAGATGTCCTACACTTTATTGCATTAACTCTGGGTAACCAGCATAAAATAATGATATAAATTCCGTGTCCTGATTCTAATTGTTCTCCTCACAACCCCTGAAAACAACAACCACCAAAACAAGCTTTATAGAAAATACTCATATAGAATTTAAACAGTTGCAGCAAGATACATATCCATAGAGTGTAAACGATATAACACACCAAACTGGATGAGTAGTTAATCAAAAGGGAAAGAGAAAGGAAGAAACCATGAAAAATTAATACAATAAAAGGAATGACATAGCCTGGCATACTGGGACAAAAAAAAAAAAACAAAAACAAAAACAAAAAAAAACTAGTTGTATGCTGCATGTTAGAGACATATGTCATCCATTGAAAAATCAAACAAGCATAAACAAACAACAGCAATAAAAAGATGGAAAATCATTCTTCAGTTAACCAGTACAGAAAAATAATAAAGGAATGTAGATCCTAAATTCACACAAAGTAGACTTCACCTCAAAACTGATCATCAGAAGAGACAGAGAAGGTCACAGTAAACATTTGTAAAGACAATAATTCAGTAGGAAGAAATAATTTTAAATGCATTTGTACCAAATTTGGTGCATGCAATCAATGAAACAGAAACTAGTAGATGTGAAAGGAAAAAAAATACATATAAACAAGAATACATTCATAGTGGATGACTTCAATACCATTCTTTCACAGATAGTTTAAACAAAAATGCTAAAAAATCTTTAAAGT